TATCATCACGCATTTTAAATTTATAAGATAAAAAGGACAGAATGTTTAAGATTTTTATAGTAATATTAATTTTTCTTCACCATTTGCCTGTATTACTTACTCTGTAACTTCTCTGCAAATTTGGCTGGTTATTGCAAAATAATCCTGTACCTATACATATTAAGTTATATATTCTAAGCGGTATGAAATTGTCATTTTAGCAATAAATACGATACAACAACTAAGATTTATTTTAAGAATGTATAATTAAATTTAGAAGCTGCAGATAATATTTTCATTAAATTCATCGAAAATAGCAATTTCTCAAAACTGAAGTCGAGGATTCACGCAATCCAAAATAAACCTGTGAACTTTAAAGCGATCGCATAAAGTCTAAATCTCCACGACTGTTTACGAAAATTATTTCAAGAAGTCACAGATGTAATGTTAGGCGTTGTTGAAATATCCATAATTTTCCCGCCAAAACTAACTCGTTCCAAGTGATACCGTATGTGCCAAGATCGTGGGTATATTTATGTTCTACAATGGCCGCATTATTTGATAGTATTATTTTATTTTAATTGTAATTTTGGATCATCGATCACTAATAAAAAACTAGATCTAAAAAACTAGAACTAGATACACAATCAGTGACAAAAATGTCCTTACCGAATGAGCGCCCACTCGAATATTTGGGTGCGCGTTTAATTTGTACCTAGCTTTGTGAATACAACTTTAGACGATGCAGTTAAGGTTGAATTTACATTAATGTATATTTACTTCAACTAGAATTACGTCAAAACAATTGGCGACAGTTTTTAGAGAACTTTTGCATAGGATTGTGTATCTAGTTTTTTATTAGTGATCGATGTTTTGGATATTAATATAACTACTTAACTACAAAACATCACCGTAAGTGTCGTAAGAGACGACAGAGGGAAATTAAACAGGACAGGTCATCAGCATCCGCTGCGATTGCCAACCCACGTGCAAAACGTGCAGCTATGGCAAATAATAAGAGGCCTTTTGTTCACTAGAGAACTTTCGATAGGTAATGAACTACTGGTGAATAAATGCTTTTTAGCAAAAATTTGTATATATATGTAGGCGAAAGAGGATCATCCTCATATGCAGTAACGATGGATGGTACAAATATGTGCGCATTACAACATAAAATACAAGAAAATATAGTAAGCAGATCGTTGGCAATTCGTCGCAAATATATGGTACGATTCTCTAATGATGTTTTCTTCAAAAAAATCCTATAAACAACCACGGTTGCCACGTTACCTATACGTTTTACTAGAGTAAAACCGTTACTCTCGATCTAGCCAGTATTTTATAGACGTGCCTACACATATTTTATAGTGTGGATTATTGGTTCGTAATCATACGCCCGTTGCAGTTCACTGATAAAAATTAGCCTTTTGTAAAATTTTACAATATCCACTGCCTGGATTTTCTTTTGCTGGTACTGAACAAAAGTTAATAGTGTCACTTCGGACAAAATTAATTCATTAAATAAAGTATAACCTGACTGAATATAAAACTGAAATAACTGAATTGAAATTGAAAACTACTTCATTTACACAACCGTATATACGCACGTGGTAGAGGCATGCTGCAGCTATATTAATTGTATAGTTGTAGCACGAATGGGTCGGCTCGACCGGCGAAGGACCACGCTCTCACAGAATACCAGCGTAAAATAGCAGATTTTACTGAAAAAGAGGCATTCTATATAAGTCCTCACGGCTAACAACGCATCTGCATTTTAATTTGCAAACAAAGAAAGATGTAGATGTCTATGGGCCACAGCAAACACTTACCATCAAGTGGGCTGTGTGCACATTTGTCACCCGAATTCTATAAAAAAAAAATTGTTGATGTTGTATTTTGTTCTAACAATACATTTAATATTCGAGATTAATATCGGATCTTTGATATAGAATATAGCATTCAAAATTATTTAAAACTAAATAAGAATAAAATAATCATTTTTTAAGAGATTTCAGAAATGCGAGGCTCTTTCATTTCAAAACGCAATTCCCTTAGTTCATACCAGTCTGGCTTCCGCCCGGAACACAGTACAACCACAGCATTATTTCAAGTTATAGAAGACTTTAGAGATGGCATGGAGAGATCATGTTTGACTGTTCTTGCCCTTATTGACTTTTCAAACTTATCCAATTTGTCGTTCACGACTTGCTCCTTGAATTACTTTCCCGACTAAAATTCTGCTCGTCACCACTGAACTGGTTTTCCTCTTATCTTCGCGGTTGCCACCAGGCTGTTCGATCTGATCAGAATTTTTCCGACTGGTGCGATCTGTCTTTAGGTGTACCGCAAGGCGGCATTCTTTCTCCTCTCTTGTTTTCGGTGTTCATCAATCTTCTAACTACCCACCTTCAATGTTCTTACCACCTCTATGCTGACGATCTCCAGTTATATTCACAAGCGTCCTTGGATGAAATTGATACTGCTATCGCAGGTATTACTCGTGACTTACAACGTATATCACACTGATCACAGAGCTTTGGCTGTTTGGCTGAAATGCCAGGCTGTCGTCATTGGTAGTCGTCGATTGGTGTCATAACTTAACATATCTGAACTACCATCCATTCACTATGCACACTGCGTAATACATTTTTTATAGGATGGGGTGATAAACGAGCACACAGTCCACCTGATGGTAAGTGGTTACTGTGACCCATAGACATCTACATCTATCCTCAATAAAGACTCAAGATGCAGATGCGTTGTCACCCGTGAGGACTAAGATGGAAAGCCTATTTGCCAGTAAAAAGGGTCTCCGGTTCTCTACACTCACCTACACCATACGAAACACAGCAGCGTTAAGCTGCTATTTTACGCTGGTTTTCTGTGAGAGCGTGGTCCTTCCCCGGTCGAGCCGACCCATTCGTGCTACAACTATACTACTAATATAGCTGCAGCATGGCTCTACCACGTAAAACCCACCTTTCAAAACTAATGTCAAGGATCTGGGTTTAATTATCGACCCGTCTCTTAGTTGAATATCACAGGTGTCCGAGGTTTGTCGTAAAGTAGCAGTCATACTTCGTTCCTTTTATCGCCTTAAGTTCTTTCTGCTTCCTTCAACTAAACGTCTTCTCGTCCAATATCTAATTCTTCCATTATTTGACTATGCCGATGCTTGTCTAACTAATATTTCTAAGGAGGTGCTTAACAGGTTTGACAGGTTATTTAACAACCAAATTCATCTTTGGCCTGCCCAAATATGATCACGTTTCAGAATTTCACTCTCAGTTGAAGTGGTTGACTATACGCCAGCGCAGAGATTTCCTAATCGTGTCCAGTCTGTTTTTAGTTCTTAATGATTTTTACTACTCACCCTTTTATCTAAAAGAAAGATTCCAAATCCGTAGTGACACCCATTAACAAAATTAAATCCAAACCCAAGCATACCACTGCAAGACTTCAAGATACTGTAAGTTAATTCTGCGTAGATCGAACCAAAAATTAATTTTTAAAAACTGAAGGTAGCCGGGCTAACTGTGACATCGGGACGTCAAATATCTCAGTCCACCCCCTCCCCCTTCCCCGTGACCATTGGTTGCTGTAAAGCACCCTAAACATCGGTACTTAAACAAATGTTTTCAATCGAATAAATTATAACCAGATTAAAAATATATAAAAATGAAACATTTTAAATTTTTTATTCATATTATTTTTTTTATAGAATAGGGTGACAAACGAGCACACAGTCCACCTGATGGTAAGTGGTTGCTGTGGCCTATAGACATCTACTTTTATCCTCGTTGCGAATCAAAATGCAGATGCGTTGTCACCCGTGAGGATTAAGATGGAATGCCTCTTTTCCAGTAAAAAGGGTCTCCGGTTCTCTACACTCACCATACGAAACACAGCAGTGTTAAGCTGCTATTTGACGCTGGTATTCTGTGAGAGCGTGGTCCTTCCCTGGTCGAGCCGACCCATTCGTGCTACAACTATAGTACTAATATAGCTGCAGCATGGCTCTACCACGTACAAAATATATATTACTGTTATTTTTAAAAAATTTATGTTGTATTTTATACTATGAGTAAATTTTATCTGACGCTTGAATTTTTTCTCTTAAATGAATACTTTATCATCTTTACGAGACCGTAAAAGTTCACAACTGAACATAGGCCTCTCCCGTCGCACAGAAAATAACTGAACTTTATTTTATTAAGTTTTACTGTATTAAGAAAAGTTTTATTTAATTAATATGAAATATATTATGCATATTTAGGTATATCTAATTAAGTTGATTTTCTTACGCGTTAGTATCTTGATCTAGAGCTGAATGAGAAATCTAATTAAGAAAGCTTATCATCCTGATTTCAGGGCTTAATCGTTTTACTTCCAATTTTTAAATATATTTTTATCAAATCTACGCAGAACGAGCCTTACGCCACTTTGAAAACCCTACACAAAGGATAACTTGAAAAAATCAAACGTTTTAAAGGTTAATTGCCTGAGCTAAAAGCATGGAATTATAAATATAAAATTTTCGTAAGATATCAAAATACATTTACCACTAACGATTTTATAGTACAGTAAATATTCTAGAATGATAAGCATGAGTATTACGAGTATGAAACAATTTTAAATTCAGAAACAAAAATAAATATATGACCCCAATTAAACATCTGCTGCCACTCTAGAACAACCTTCGTTGTTATAACGCAAAAATCCAATTTAAATATAGTCTACATATAACGAAGCTGACAATGTCACGCCGCTTGTGTCACTACTATCTTTGTACAGTTGCATTAAAAATATTAAAATAAACATTTTTTGTCAATAAGCCTGTGTAATGTATTGAATTTAATCAAAGAGTTCAAGGTTAAATTGTGTCAAGATTTTTGTTCTTAAATTGTGTCAGTGCCAGTGTTATAACATTTTGTGAGTACTGAGTCAAAAATAAAAGACGACTCATAAGCGCACTCTATGTATATTAAAACCTATTATTATTTAATGTTTAAATTATTATCATGGCGGAAACGGTAAGAAGAGACGAGATCTATAACAAGGAATACAGAAGAATACGGCGTATAACTAAAGATCTAGAAATTCGACAGATTTCTGTAGGTTTCTTTAACACACATATTATGGCAATTTTTTTTCATTATTACTGTAAATAAAGTTGTGTCAGGATCAACGGGGTCTACTCGGACTGGTTTGGCATTCATAAAGGTGTCAGACAGGGATGTGTGGCTTCCCCGTGGCTGTTTAACCTATTTATGGACAGTTGTTTGCAAACTTTGAAAGTTGAAGAATGTGGGTTGAGAATGGGTGAGTCAACCGTCAAATGCCTTTTGTACGCCGATGATCAAGTCATATTTGCATCGACGGCGGCCGAGTTGCAAATGATGGTTACTTTAATGAATTGTTCATTGAAAGAAAGGGGTATGAAAGTGAACGCAAGTAAGACGAAAGTGATGGTTTTTGAAAGAGAAGAAAGTAAAACTTTATGTAAAATAAGTATAGAAGGGGAGTTGATTGAGCAAGTGGATGAGTTTGTATATTTGGGATGTTTATTTAGCAGGGATGGTAGATATGATAAGGATATAGAACGACGAGTGAACGCAGGAAATAGAGTGAATGGGGCTCTACACGCTATTGTGAGGAGTCAGAATGTGTCAACTAAGGCACGTATGGCAATTCATAATGCTGTGTTAGTACCGACTTTAATGTATGGTAGTGAAAGTTGGGTCTGGCAGAAGAAGCATGAGAGTAGAATAAATGCTGTAGAAATGCGTTCCTTAAGGAGTATGCTAGGGCTGAATCTGAATGACAGGGTGAGAAATAGTGTAATAAGAGAAAAGTGTGGTTTGCAAGATGACGTTGTGACAAGGATTAAGAAAGGAATGCTTCGGTGGTTTGGTCACGTAGAAAGAATGAACGAGGAAAGAGTGACAAAGCAAATTTATGTTGCAGAAGTGAACGGCAGGGTCGGGAAGGGACGCCCTAGACGAAGGTTTATCGACCAGATCGGCGATACATTGAAAATGGGCCAGATTAGGAGTACCCTTAACCGACGAGCGTGTATGCGTAGATATATGGATGTGAAAGAGGCGAGAGAGGTGTGTCAGGATCGCGCCAAATGGAAGTCCGTAGTCTCTGCCTACCCCTCTGGGTGACAGGCGTGAGTGTTTATGTATGTATGTATGTATTATTAACAATTAAAAATCAGAAATAATTTAAAAAATATGCATCGTGCATTGTTTTTTTTAAATTTATTTGTAATCTATTTTTCATAAATAATTTTAACACTTTCTTTGTCAATCCACCAAATTTATTAATGTAACCCAATCACTGAATTAATTGAAATGAAATAGGAACTATTCTCCCATTGGTTTTTAAATCAAATTCCCATGTATATATATATATATATATATATATATATATATATATATATATATATATATATACATATACATATACATATGTGGAGCTTAAAACAAAAATGAAAGTGCTAATTATGTTACTTGCCTACCATTTCGTAAAAGACATCTAATGATATAATTATTATATTTATGACTGTGTAGATTCTAAAATCAATAATTGTATTAAAGCACATTATTATTTTTCGGAGCTCCATTGTTATATTGCCATTGTATTTGGAAAATCGATTATTTAATAATCACTCTAGGGAACATCTAATTCAGTTTCGGGAAGGTTAGACACAGATGACAGGTTTACTACAACACCATTAATTATCCCACGAAGTTAAATAAAGTTAAAAATTTATTTGAGTGTAAAATATGTCATATACATTATCGTTACCATTACAGCCTTTCTAAAGTCCGCTTCCGTGTCCGTTCCGTCACATGTGCCTTGGTTAGCACGCTTGGCAGATGGGTTGGCAACCGCTTATTTTATTTTTTAGTTTTTATTAGGAAGACGCTGCTGCCCATCTCCTCGTTTGTTTCCTTCTGTCGCCACTTACGAAATAAACGACATGACAAGGGGTAGTGGGTATTTTTAGACCGCCACTACACTTTACAGCAAGGTATAAGTTTTTACATTTGATACTAAATATCATTAACATACAAATTATACCCTTTCAAGTTTTCTCACGCTTAATATGTGTAACATTAAATGAAACCCATTTTATAATTTCAGTCTGAATATGGCCTTACGGAGGAACAAGTTGCAGGTAAGATATTTTATAATATTAGATTTGCATACTTAAATCTCTAATTTCTTTCTCAGATGAGATATTCTTATTTCCGTTTTGTTGGATTTATTTCTGGAGAAAAGGAAATTCGCAAGCGACTCTACATTTTTAAATTCGCTTAAATTCGCTATTTGTATTTACGCTTAGCATTAAGAAAGCTTATCATTCTTGGAGTCCACCGCTGCACGGATGTTTTCCTTTGATATTTAACTTGTTACGACACATTTTTCTTTATTCAGAACATACATTATGTAGGACTTACGACAATATGGCATCATTTGAATTAATCTATACAAATAAATAAAAATGAAGTGCCTGTTTGTAATGTCAAAATAACAGCTTTTACTAAATGCATATGAAAGTATATTATACGATACTTATAACAAAGGCACAATTTTTTAAAATTTTGTGTGTCTGTCTGCCTGTTTATTCCGGCTAATCTCTAAAATGGCTGGACCGATTTTGATGAGACTTTCGCTGGCAGATAGCTGATCTTATATGAAGTAACTTAGGCTACTTTTATTTTAGAAAAACAATTAGGGTTTCGCGCAAAAAAAATTAAAAACCTAAATGTCGCGCGGACGAAGTCGCGGGGAACAGCTAATATTTATATATAAAAATTTCGTGTCACATTGTTTGTCCGCGATGAACTCCTAAACAACTAAACTGATTGCAATGAAATTTTGCACACTGTGTGCAGTTTGGTCCAACTTGAGAGATAGGATAGTTTTTATCCCTATAAGTGACCCTCAATATTTTTTATTACGAATTTAAGAATTTTTATAGGACACAGTGTCGTCGGAGAGGGCAGAACAACGTCTGCCTGGTCAGCTAGTTATATATAAAACTAAAATGATAAATGAACTAACGCTCCACCTGATGATAAGTAATGGCCCATAGACGTCTGCAGCCAACTGCAAACAAAGAAGGATAGATGTGTTGTCACCTCTGATGACTAAGATAGAATTTAATATTATGAAGATATCAACATCAGATTTTCACGTGGTAGAGCCATGCTGCAGCTATATTACTGGTATAGTTGTAGCACGAATGGGTCGGCTCGACCGGGGAAGGACCACGCTCTCACAGAATACCAGCGTAAAACAGCAGCTTAAAACTGCTGTGTTTCGTATGGTGAGTGTAGAGAACCGGAGAGCCTTTTCACTGGAAAAGAGGCATTTCATCTTAGTCTTCACGGGTGACAACGCATCTGCATTTTCATTTGCAAACGAAGATAGATATAGATGTCGTTGCCACAGCAACCACTTACAATCAGGTGGACTGTGTGCTTGTTTGTCACCCTATCTTATAAAAACAAGTACTTGACTATTCCACCAGATGGTGAATGGAAATGCTGCCGAAGATGGTAAAGCACACTGAATTGGCTAAACAAAAGCCTATTCTAATCTATTCTAAGCCTAAAGCAAGAGCCTTAAAGACAACCGCATTAAAATCATATGGAAAGACATGCTGGCAAATTATTTCACTATTTTATGTACGCACTATTAACGACAAAGCAAACTATTCTGTACGAACGCGTGACAAGAAAGTGGTAAATGCCAGTGAAATGGAAAGTGAGGAATTATGTCATGCGATTCCTGAATTTATGCTTTAGAACTTAAGTGCCTTCGTTTATTTTAGAATTCAAGGAGGCGTTTATGCTGTTCGATAAGGACGAAGACGGCACGATCACGATGGCTGAACTGGGCGTCGTGATGCGATCACTTGGTCAGAGACCTTCGGGTAAGTTGTGCTTTTTTTATAGAATAAATATTAAAAACGAGAACACAGTCCAACTAATGGTAAGTAGATGCCGTGACCCGTGGACATCTTCTTCTATTCCCGATTAAGAAACAAAATGCAGATGCATTGTCACCCTTGAGAGCTAAGATACAATGAGTCGATACGAATAAATATGGTCTCTGGTCCTCTAACCTCACCATACGAAACACAGTGGTATTAAGCTGCAATATATTTTATAGTTCTTCCCCGATCGGGTAGATCTATTTCGATGATATAGCCGTAGGCAGCATGAGTCTTCTACTTTTACCTTAAATCTGTTTACGGCCAAACGTAAATCCAAACCATCGAGAGGCCTATGTAAATTAAACTGTTAAGTCTGAAAAAGGAAGAAAGAAAAAATATAAGGCTACAAGCTTTAATTCAGCCTAGAATCCCCCCAGTTTTCGCTAATAAGACTCACTGTTTTATTTCTTTCGAATTTGGCAATTGTCATCAAACGCTCAGTAAATGTCGGCATAATAAAATCCGAGATAATGTTATAGAGGATTCGGTATTGAAGAACATAAACAATTACTTATTTAAACTTAATGTAAATTAGGTACATTAAACTAGAATATATGGCCATTAATTGTACCGAATACATCAGTGTCATTAGTTCTAGCGGTTGCGTTGCGAGAAGCTGCTCGTATTTCGCAAAACCGCGAATCTAATCTTTGTTTATATTTGTACTCGTCGATACATTAGCATTGAATAGGTTAGTTAGGTATTTGACACCGGCATCAATAAATACTTAGATCATTTGAATTTGCTAAATAGTTTTTCAAGACATAAATGGTTAAATTTTAATTTAATTAGATACTAACTTATATTTTGACATTTCATGAAAAGTGTTTCAACGACTGTTTTTGCCACCAGGGCAGCGACACTGAGAGTTAGGCACGAATTAAGTAAAATATTTTATAAGGGCAATGCTTCTCTCTGAAACATGAGTTATCTCTCATTTTTTGTTAATATTTATGTTATTTTTTGGCGTACAATAAAGTTTTATATATCTATCTATCTATCTCCCCTTATCATGGCCCCATATAAAGGCCCCTTCCTGTGTGTATTTGATCGGATCCCTAAATGGGTTTGTATTCACAATAGGGCGCGGTAGGTGGCGCTTTTGTCGAGAATCAGAAATAACCCGTGCGAAACCGGGGCGGATCGCTAGTATTTTATGTTTATTAGATTAAAAATGAATAAATCAAACCACAGACATTCCTAAAATAGAAAATTTAAAAGAGACTTAAAAATGTGCAAAGATTTAAAGAGCAAACTACTAAGGCATTATTTTGTTTATTTACATACTCTAAAAACCGTTAAACTTTTATTTATAACGCAACTTCTCAGTTGTAATGTGTCGTGAAGCGACAATTAAAAACAAAAAAAGAACCTAACCTAGCAACAACAAAACAACAAAAATAGGGCAAAACAAATAATCTATTTAAAATATAAAAAAAAGATGTTTACAGATTTATATAAAAAAATGATGTATGAGGATGAAGATGAGTGACGTGATTTACAATTATTTCTAAAAAAAAGATAATAAAAATGATGAGTATTGAAGCTGAGGCCGAAGATCCAAGTGGTACACCGCTTTTGGTGGTGGTCTTCGCTGCCCACAGATTATACACAGGCTGTGCTGGTGGTAGGCCCACAGCGCCTGGAACGAGCACGCACAGCGTAGGTGAAAGCGTGGGCGTGTCTAGGCGACGACTTCAGGTGAATGCAGAGGTTTGCAAGATCCGGCGACTTCAGGAAAGACAGAGGCTTGCAGGATCCCAGCAACTTCAGGCAGGACAGAGGTCTGCAGGATCTGGCGACTTCAGGCAGGACAGAGGCTTGTAGGATCCGGCGACTTTAGGCAGGACAGAGGCTTGCAGGATCCGGCGACTTCAGGCAGGACAGAGGCTTGCAGGATCCGGCGACTTCATGCAGGGCAGAGGCTTGCAGGATCCGGCGACTTCAGGCAGGGCAGAGACTTGCAGGGTCCCGGCGACTTCAGGCAGGACAGAGGCTTGCAGGATCCCGGAGCAGTGCGGCCCCGGGATAAGGCCTTTAGGAGATACTTCGAGTTTGAGAACCGAAGCGAGACTGAGTTTCTTGACCGATTGTTCGGCTTTTATACCTTTTTAGAGAGAACGGAAAATTATTTAAATTAAAAGCAAATTTTTTGTAAATGGCCAAGAAGAAAGAGTATTTATGTGGAATTATCGAAGTAGAAACAACAGACCGGTAGCGAATTTGAATAAAAATTGCCATGACAAACAGATAAACAACGATGTCAAAACATGTCAAATTTTGGTTTAGGCTCGTAATAGAGAAACGGCAAGATTTAAGTGAAAAATGAGATATTATTGCTATAGGAAAAAAAAAAGCGCACCAGCGCGCACAAAGCCCGAAATTGCAGAGTTACGGAGAACTAAATAAAAGATCGAAAAAGGCAGACTCCATCGACACCAAATTAAAAAATGCTGATAGCGTGAAAATACGAAGTGAAAATGATTTGTTATTGTGTTCTTATGGTTTAAAAACGTTACCGGATCCTATGGAAATAAAGGTGATACAAAATATCCAGTTTTGAGGTGAATGCAGAAAATCAAAACAGAATGGAAAAATGAATTTAAAATAGTGTAAAATGATATGTAAGTAGCATAACACTACAAATGATAAATAAATTCACCTCAGTCCCAACTAGCGACATCTAGTGAGCGGAAGAAGAACCCCCATATCGTCCCGTGGATATACCTATTGTAAGACATATTCATACGAGCATATTTATGCCATATTAGTGTCGGAAAGTTGGCTAAAGCCTTCTTTACCGTCAACATTATATCCCCTACCAGGCTTTGTACTTGTTAGGAATGATCGGGTTGGAAAAGGTGGAGGTGGTGTAGGCACCTACACGCATCAATCCCTCATAAAATTGTTTTAGCATCTCCTTCCTGTTACTCTGCCTCTTCTGAAATTTTATTTTTGGAACTTGATGTCAAGGGTTTAAGGATGCTTCTAGGGGTAGTGTATTGCCCCCCTTCGACAAACTACTTCGCCACTTCAGATATGGCTCTTGTTGATATTTGTTCTGAGTACGCACACTGTATAATCATGGGTGACTTCAGATTTGTTGAAAAACTCTCCTCGTTCCAAAACACTAATCTTTCTATTCTCCCTTTAAAGGCTACTCATCACAATATTGGAACCGATGACTCATTAATTAATCTTATCTTTGCTGCTTCTCCTGATCAGGTGATGATGCACGGACAGTTACCTGCTTTGGGCATCTCACGTCATGACTTGATTTATGCTTCGTATAAGCTTAAACCTCCCAAATATTCCCCTTCTGTACTGCATCTGCCCAGTTTTTCTAAAATAGACTGACAAGCTATGGGATGACGCTCTTAGTCTCGCTCTAACCTCATTTATTGCAGCACCTACTGTTGACGATAAAGCCTCTATCCTTAACCAAAATATTCTCAGCCTTTATGATGCTCATGCCCCAGTTCACAAGATTAGATTGAAGCGTCCTCCAGCCCCATGGATGACAGAGGGCGTAAGGTTGGCAATGACTAGACGTAATCGAGCTTTTCTTCGTTTTAAGAGAAAACGTAATGAAGAATAAGCCAGGAATAGGTGAAATTAAATGGTATGGGCAGCTAAACGTCGATATTTGCATAATTGTATTAACAACTCTTCTCCCGCCGAAGTGTGGAAATTTCTTAGATCTTTTGGTCTTTGCAGGCCAGCTATATTGGATTGTGGTCCTTCTCTATCACTTGATGAAATCAACCAACATTTCGCTTCTGTAACACCAATGGCAATGCATGCGGCGGGACTTACGCAACTTCAATACAGCTCGTATTGAAGAAGCGATCGAGCGGAACCAAGGCTCCAAAGTCTCTGCCAGAGATCTGTCTGCCAGAAAGAGCCAACTGTCAAAGCTGAAGACAGAATGTGGCAGCATCGTTTCCGGGACACCTGAGATTTTGAGTGAGATTGAGAGGTTCTATGGGCAGCTGTACACGTCATCGTTGGAGCCACACGCAAGTGTGAGTAACGATCCAAGAGCGAGTCTCATCCGACACTATTCCGAAGATATCCCGGATGTCAGTCTGAGCGAGATTAGGATGGCTCTCCAGCACCTTAAAAACGGTAAGGCCCCAGGCGAGGATGGAATTACAGCGGAGCTTCTGAAAGCGGGTGGAAGACCGGTACTTGAAGTCCTTCAGAAGCTCTTTAATTCCGTCCTCCATGGTGGCATTACACCGGAGGCGTGGAGCAGAAGTGCGGTGGTCTTGTTCTTCAAGAAAGGTGACAACGCTCTCTTGAAGAACTACAGACCGATTTCCCTTCTGAGCCGCGTCTACGTGCTGTTTTCGAGAGTCATTACGAATCGTCTCGCGCGCAGACTTGACGACTTCCAGCCTCCCGAACAAGCCGGTTTCCGAAAGGGCTTTAGCACCATAGACCACATACATACCCTTCGGCAAGTTGTACAGAAGTCCGAAGAGTACAATTTGCCACTATGTCTGGCGTATGTGGACTATGAGAAAGCCTTTGATTCCGTCGAAATTTGGGCGGTGCTGCAGTCCCTTCAGCGGTGCCAAGTTGACTGTCGGTATATCGAAGTGTTGAAGTGCTTGTACAGTAGGGCTACGATGGCTATCCGAGTACAGAACCAGAGTACGAAACCTATCCAATTGCAGAGAGGTGTAAGACAGGGTGACGTTATATCCCCGAAACTCTTCACCGCTGCATTGGAAGACGTTTTCAAGCTTCTGGACTGGAAAGGATACGGTATCAACATCAATGGCGAGTACATCACTCACCTTCGATTTGCCGACGATATAGTCCTTATGGCAGAATCGCTGGAGGACCTAAGCACTATGCTCAATGACCTCAATAGTGTTTCCCAACGGATAGGTCTTAAGATGAACATGGACAAAACTAAGATCATGTTT